GCGGTGGCCACGGTGCGCACCGACCCCGCGGATGGTACCAAGTTCGTGCATCTCAAGAAGAAGTTCCACACAGAGGGCTTCCCTCCTCCGACTGAGGCCTCACTCCCCCGGGACCCACCGCGTATCGAGGTGACCCAGGAGCCTGAAGTCCCGGACCCTCCAGCCGAGCCGTGCAAGGACAGCCAGCTCCAGGAGGAGGCAGATCCACAGTTGTCTCTCCAGCTGCGGGACGAAGCGAGCGACCCGGAGCCTCTGCGCCCTGCTCCGAACGGGGCCCAGGGTAAGGATTCGCCACAGGAGGTCCAGGCCGTGTCTTCTTGGCCGTCAGTCCCCGGGCCCAGCGAGAACCTGAAACTCCCTCCAGGCGGCGGCGGCGGTGGCGGCGAGGAGGCTGAAGGAGCCAGTTCCCTGGGTGGGCCCAGTACGCCGAGATCGGTCCGTCAGAACTTTCGGGACCTGATGATGGGCAGCTCCCCTCAGCTGATGAGGAGCGTGTGTCCCGGGGACGGAAGCTCTGGGAGCTTCTCCGTAGGGGGTCGCAGCCGAGGAGGGGGCGACTCCGACAGCGCATCCTTGGCTTCGTCGTCCGCCGAAGAGGAGGGCAGCGGTGGGGGCTCGGTTACGCTGGATCCACTGGAGCACGCCTGGATGCTCTCGGCTTCGGAGGGCAAGTGGGACAGCCTAGAAGGGCTGCTCACTTGTGAGCCCGGCCTGCTGTCGAAGCGAGACTTCATCACTGGCTTCACCTGTCTCCACTGGGCCGCCAAGCACGGCCGGCAGGAGCTCCTGGCCATGTTGGTCAACTTTGCCAGCAAACACCAACTGCCAGTGAACATCAACGCCAGGTCGAGCGGAGGCTACACTGCCCTACATTTGGCCGCCATGCACGGACATGTGGAGGTGGTGAAGTTACTAGTGGGGGCCTACGACGCAGATGTGGACATCAGGGACTACAGCGGGAAAAAGGCGTCTCAGTACCTGAGTGAAAGCATCGCGGAGGAGATAAAGAACCTGGTAGGAGCCATGGAGGAAGAGGATGGGGACAGTGCCACGGGCCGCGGGAGTGGGCGCTGGAAACTTTCAAAGGTGCTCCCGTCACACCTCATCACTTACAAACTCTCACAGGGCGCAGAAGATGGAGCTGAGCATCACCATCACCACGTCGCCGAGGGATGGACCGGAGGCAAAGCCAAAGATTCAGGTCGCAAAGCCTTGGGCAGCTCCAGTGGACGGTTAAAGCCACGGCTCAACAAAATCCGATTCCGAACCCAGATCATTCACACCACTCCCTCATTCAAGGATGCTGAACAGACGCTGGAGGAAGAAGAGGAGGAAGAGGAAAGGTCTCTTAAAGGCTACTCGTCTTCCTTCAAACTGAGACCGAAGTCCAATGTATTTGGGTAAAAAAAATAATAATAATAATTCGTGCTAGAAACGCTAAGGTTTAGTTGTCTTCAAGGTAGGCTAATACTGGCTGTGGATGAGAAAAGGCAGGATAAATTACGTATGTATTTTAACTTGCAGGCTTGGGGTGGAGCTGTAGTAATCCTTCCAAGATAGCATTCTGGGGCAAGAGAACGTCAAATGATTCATTATACATTGATTTGTGCTTCTTTCCGCATCCCCACCCTTGTAGCCTGGAACTTGAGAGAACTGGAATTCATTGATGACTAAGAACCCCTTTGCTTTAACCATCATTAGATACCTTGCACAGTGTGAACTATCAAGCCTGATTTCTAAGTTACTGTTAGGACATGCAAACTATATGTTAATGCAAAACTGAACCTGGTAATGCTTGTGAGTGACTACAGGCAGCCCTGATCTTTCACTCTTCGAACTTGCTCCATATGGTGATAAAGAAGGTCCAGGTCAGAGTTGAAATGTGAAACTACAAATGAGAATTATGGGAATCCTGTAGGTATCTTACTGATATTGTAAGTAGCAGTTCCCATTTTTTTTTAAAGCAATTTCAATTTTAACCACTGAACTGAAGAAATAAGTAGCATTTGCTTTTGAGTTACTGTAGTCTTGCTTGTGCCTATTATAACACTATTCAGTATACGGTACATTACTAAATCACAAATTTTTATTTAAAAAGAAGGACACTTAACCCATGGTACTTTTTTTTTTTAATATGTGTCTTCTTGATTATCACTAACTTGTTTTGCTACTCTGAAATTCTAACCTTTCTGGGATTTGTACTCTGGGGATTCTTTTTAATGAAGCTTATAATACTTAGACTGATTTACATATTACTTAACAAACCTTTTCTTGTTTAGAAAATAGCAAAAATCAGCATAAGTATTAATACCCTATGCTTCTGTGAAGTAGTTATTAAATCAACTTAATATGGTTCTCATATAAGAGACATTTAATTTTATTAATACATTCATAGTCTGTATGCTTCCTGGCAACATTTTACAAATTTTTCACTTCTTTCACTTTTTCTACATTTCTTTGTATACACTCAAAGAGCTACGGGGTAGTTACTGAAAGGCTAGATAGTTTGCCCATTTAAAAATGGGCAAATTGGCTGGGCGTTGGTGGCGCACGCCTTTAATCCCAGCACTTGGGAGGCAGAAGCAGGTGGATCTCTGTGAATTCGAGGCCAGCCTGGTCTCCAGAGCGAGTGCCAGAGTAGGCTCCAAAGCTACCAAAGCTACACAGAGAAACCCTGTCTCGAAAAACAAAAAAAAAAAACAAAAAAACAAACAAAAAAAAAAAGGGCAAATTTGGCTGGGCGTTGGTGGTGCACACCTTTAATCCCAGCATTTGGGAGGCAGAGGCAGGTGGATCTCTGTGAGTTCAAGGCCAGTCGGGTCTACAGAGCAAGAGCCAGGTTAGGCTCCAAAGCTTCACAGAAACCCTGTCTCGAAAAACTAAAAAAAAAAATAATAATAAAAATAAGCAAATAATTTATTATACTTTATAAAAGGAAAGAGAAATGGAACCATTTCTGTATTTCAATGCTGCTAGCTATTGAATTTCCTTATATATAAATGAAAAATACTATTCCCTAAAATAGTATATTCCTTAAAATATACTTTTATAACTGTGATCCTTAATTACATTCCATTCATTTGTGTTAGAGTAAATTGCTTTATAATTACTTTAAAGCTTAACTCACAAATATTAAGTCGTGTAACAGGATTAGAAACTTCTGTAAGAGACGACCAAATCCTTCTTAGTGTTTCTGATATGATTGCAGAAACCTAAGTTGTTACAGCCTACAACAAGATAGAGGAGTGAGTGAGTAGCCACAGAGTGAAGGAGACTACATGGTTGTAGAGAGTAACTAACTTTCCCAGTCATAGAAATTTCTAACAGATTTGTCACATCTCCCTCAAGATAGCAGTTCAATTGTTTAAATATGGTTGAAGATACTCATATGAAATGCATAAGGAGATGGCTCAGGAGGTATGAGCACTTGTTCTGCAAGCATGTGTTTGAATCCCCAGCACCCATTTAAGAGGCTAAGTGTAGTTGAGGGTGCCTGTAACCCAGCATCGGGAGGTGAGACAGGCAGAGGTTGAGAGTCCAGTGGCCAGCCAGCCTACCTGAAACAGCGACTTTGTTTCAGGGACTTCAAGGCAATAAGGAAGGCATAGAGGAAGTCACCTGACATTCTACTCTGGCCTCAGAGTAAGCACCACGTGGGTGCTCCCAACCATTCTCGTGCCTGCACTGCACTACACACACACACACACACACAAGTTGTTATCCACTTATGTGCCTTTATCTTTGTTTTAGGATTTAAGAAGTAGATTTCATACATTATCGGTAAGCACTTTTTTGTATATATAAGTGAAAAACCAGTGTGAAAAAGAAATCCAAATGTGTCATGTATAAATGCTAACTATATTCAGTGCAGAATAAGCTTACAATTCCCATCCGGGACTTTTAAATTCCACTTAAGATAAGGCAACTATACAAGTAGATGTTTCAGAACCAAGTAAAGGTTCTATTGAACAGTCATTATTAATCCCTTCACACATGTTAGTAATTAATTGAATAAAATCTATAATTTTCTAGATTTTTAGATACCAAGTAAATACATCATTTAACTTTGCTTTTCACACTAAAGGCTTAAAACTATGATGAAACATTTAAATTTTCTGGAATCATTCCTGGGCTGCCTCACAGCTCAGCAGATAAAGTGGTTGTCTTACAAGCCTGAAGGCCAGAGTTTGAACCTAGAACCCATAGTGGAAGGAGAGAACTCACTCCTGAAAATTACCCTCCAACCTCATGTGCGCCATGGCATATGCATCCCTGTCCTCACATGCATGGCATACATACAAACACAAAATTCATAAAAACACAAAAAAGAGGGAACTCCTAGCATTCCTTGTCATAATGTACTTTGTACAGTAAAGGTAACATTTTAAGCTACTTAACTCCATTCTTCTTTTCAATTTCCAAATCAAGAGTAGAAAAAGTGATTTGTATAAGTTGATAATTGTGAAGTTATATCTCCCAGTAGTGACAATATATTAAATATTAACAAGAGACTGGTAATTTTAAAATGAGTTTTTTCATTTGTCTTCCAGGTACACTTGTAACTATGAATGTCAGTTTGCTTTTATGTTATATAAAATGCAGCTAATGTGGTACTAGTTTATTCACACCTGAAATATTGGAATGTGATGTCTGTCTTTTGCTTTTTAAATAAGTGAGTTTGTGAGTTTAAGATCTGTAAATTTTGTCAAAATAAAATGTTCATAATAGAAATTGAATTGTCTTAAGTTTCTGTAGTTCTTCAGCCACAGTGTTTTATGGTTTGCAAAGCACTTTTCAAAGTCTTAATGTTATTTGATTCTTTTCTACTCGCTAAGGATATGAGCTACAATGTCCCAAACTATAGGTAGTAAATGAAGATCCAGGGCCTAGAGTATCTTTCTTTCCAAAACTTTTGTCTTTCCTGTACATGAAATTATCAGATTTTTTTTGTGAAAAACTGCAGTAGTTTGGCAGCAGTGATGAATGAATGAGTCTCTTTGAACATAGAACAGGACCTCTGCCTCTGCCTTTTAAAAAGAAAAACATGGAGGTTGAGAAATGGCTCCAGTTGGTACAGTGCATGTGCAGTCATGGATAGAGGCTAACCTAATCAATTAAGGTAATTCCTCACAGGCATTCTGGGTGGCTCTAGATCTGTCAAATTAATTAATGTTAAAGATCACAAGGTGAATCTCAAAATTAAATACTCTGGTAATTTGCTGAAAACCAGCGTCTTTTAAATTATGCCAGCTATAGGAAGATGTATGAAACTGAAATCATGTTAATCTAGATAAGCTATACTCAGAAAAGTCCCAGGTTTTCACTCATGAAGAATTTAGATTATGTATATACATAGAGGTGTGTGTGTGTGTGTGTGTGTGTGTGTGTGTGTGTGTG